GTTTCAAAAATGAAATCAAATTGGATGCTTAGAATCAGTCACACATACTTGGGTGACTAAAATGATTGTAGAAATGGGAAAATACAAAGACTTCCCCAACAAAGAGGGCTAGAAAAATCTCCAATTGACAAGCATTTGCAAAAATCATCTAATATATGAAAAATAAGATGGGATCAGTAAAGGAAAGACTCAATTCTTCCATTGGAACACTTGAATTTCCAGGAAGGACAGGAAGGACAAAACCCAAAGCCCCTTTTATTTTGACCAGTCAAGCCTGAAATTGCACATAGAAAAGTTATCTTCTAGAGAAGAGGGTTGCAAACCTCAGACTGAGGAACCCCATCTAAAAACTAACAGTAGTTTTTTGTGCCCTATGGACCACAGGTACTCATAGAAATGGAAATATGTTCCCCTAAGCTGATCTAGACTTTGAAGTGCACTTGGTAGGGCAGGACATAAAACAGTGCTTCACCAGGGAGAAATTGAGGTTGTGAAAAACATTTGGTGAACTTCTGTGGGGTACAGAGCTGGTAGCTGTCAACCCCAGCTGTACACTAGAATCACCTTGGTCGCCTTAAAACCAGGCTTACTCCAGGGGTGTGGTCCAAGTGTCCCTTGACATAAGTATTTTTCTAAAGCTCTCTAGATGAATTTAATGTACTTCCTGGGCTGAGGAACCACTGTGCTAGAGAGGAAGGCCATTCGTCCATTTTAGTCACTGCAGCTACTTATGTAAAAGTATTGGGCACGTGTAACACCAACCGCCTGTTCCATCTTGAGACCCCCCTCACTCTAGGCAGTGGGGGAGAGGGCATTGTGTGATCCCACTAAATGGGGGCTCCCTGAGAGCAGAGCCTGGTCTTTCTAATTCACTGCTACATCCTAGACCTAGAACAGAACCTGTACGTACTGAACCAATGTTGAAGGACTGCCTGTTAGGGGCTGTTATGATGCTTTTTCATTCTTTTGAATTCTTGGTGATTACCCTCCTTTGATGCTTTTATGTGTAAGAGAAAATATGGTGTGAATTTTCTAGTTCTTCACTATGATGGTGTACCAGGCTGGAATCAGCTGTGCTCTGCTTGGACCTGCAACCCCTGCCTTCCCTCCCATAAAGGCTATGAACCCCTGTGAGTTATCTTGGGAATGTGATTCTCAGCTGGGTACATAGCAGAATTACTCATCGACTTCCTAAGACTGCAGATGTCTGTGCCTAACTCAAAGCCACCTGAATCAGAATCTGCAAGAGGAGGATTCAGGCTTGTGTGGTTCTCATCACATCTGGTTAAGAAACATCATTTGAGGACAGTGGTTTTCAAAATACCTGGCAGCAGCGGAGGGTTTAGCACCTGGGACCTTGTTAGAAAAGCAGGTTCTCAGCCCCACTCTAGCTAGACCTCCTGAATCAGAAACGTGGGGGTGGGGCGAGGCAGTCTGTGCTGGAACAAACCGGTAAAGTGATTCTGACACTCCCCTAAGGCTGAGACACTCTGCGGTAGACAGCTCCTTGGGTCTAACTGCACAACAGAGAGTATTTTTTCTGAGCAACAGGAAGTGCCTAATTTTCTGGGGAAAGTGCCTAAATGAAGGTCATGTGATGATTTTCTAACTTGTGGCCTGGACCTAACCTCTCCATTTGCTCCTCTGCTGACACATTAACTCAGCAAACCTATCCACTGGTTTCCGTTTTCTCCTGACTCTGCCTGGAGCATTTGCTCTTTCCTCTGCACTCAGCCTTCAGAGTCCATCTTAAATTTTATTCTGGCCTGAAAGCCCTTTTTTTACTTCTTCCTGTAGAACATAAGTGCCTGTTGCATTCATTTTAGTCATCCTTATGGCTTTTGTAATTCTATCTACCTTTTCCTGTGTGACCTCGGGCAAGTAAGCTATTTCTTCATCTGTAAAATGGGAACAATAACAGTGTCTACTTCATTAAATGAGTTAAAACTTGAAGTGCTTAGAATAACATTCAAGAAGTGTCAGTTCTAAAAGTGATTATTATTGATAGCATTAAATAATGGGTATGTAATGCTCTGTAGTGTGGGGCCATATACTCAGTGAATGTCAGCTTTTTTCACTAACAGTTTTAGGGCACTTAAGCATTTTGCAATTTTTGTAGTAGTCTTTATCATCCCATTAGTTTGAAAGCTCATTTCTTTCTCAGCTCTGAATCACTGTATCAACGAAAGTATCTAATACATGCTCAATAAATGCTTATGGAATCATACTGGACTCCATGGGCAATGTAGGCCAAGAAGTCCCAGAGGAGCCCTTCCTGAGCATGTCCCCATCTCCCCTTTCTTTGGGCTAATGTCTTCAGTCCCTGGCTTCTTGAAGCCGTCCTTCCTCAAGTCCCCAGAGGAAGCAGGTGGATCTAGATGCCCAGCTCTTAAGTCCAGCAAAAACTATACACTGTACCTGGAATAGCTCTTTCAAATAACAGGTTCCTCATTATCTAGGATGGCCTAGACAATTCTTCCTGCTTTTAATGATATTTTAAAGAGCAGATTTCTGAGCCATGTTTCAGGCAAATAATTGAAATTCCTTTTTAATGCAGTGTTGCCCTTGGGCAGCAGTGGATGGGAAGGATAGGGAAGTAGTACCTGGAGATGCAGTAGGGTGGTCTTCTTATTATTAAATTGCAATGGGATTAGGTTTTTAGGCATTGAAAATAGAGATGATGACCCAAAGGTTGAGGATCATGACTGCCTGGGGTTTCCCTGATGTAAAGATGGCTGCGTTCTTGCTTGAACTTGAACTTCTGCACAGTCTGAGTTGAAAGCAGAAGTGTGTCCACAACTGAAGCTGGCAGATGGCAGATGACGGCCTCCGTGGGACACAGTCATACTGGAGCCTGAGCCCCCACTTTGCCTCTTGGGGCAAACTTCATTTTGAAACAATTTGATGTGTAACATGAACATTCTGTATTTTTAATTCCTGGTTTATTCCAAACCCATGTTAATCTTCAATTTCATGTAAGTTCTCTCCAACTGTTACCTTAATTTTTTATGTTTCTGTTTTGTTAATGGTAGTTTTCTAAAAGTCAGTGGTATTCACTGAGTTATGAGATACCTAAATTTCAGCAAGGCGTTGGAGGAAGTCTATCCTGATGTTCTTTAGATAAAAGTCTATGGACAGAATGGTAAAGTTAGACGGACACATAACTGGAGAATGACTAGACCCAGTGATAGCTGGTTAATGAACTGGTGAGAGCTTGGAGGGGGTGGGGAACAGGGCAGGCAGGGAGCGACTATAACACTTGCTGAAGACCTCTGTCCTCCACACTGGCCTAATCCACATTTTTAGCAATTATTTGGTTGTGGGCAGTTAGGGCATACCTGTCAAATTGAATTTCCCAACTGGTATTGGGTGGTGGCTGTGTTGTATGAAGAATTCATTCTGGCATTTACCCCATGCCCTGCCCCAGTTTGTTACCCAGTGCAGGCGATTTTATTCTTTCAGTGTTTCTCAAACCCATCTTCTTCCCATCCTCCCTTACTTCAGGCTTTCATCATTTCTGTCCTAGACACTGCAGTAATCTTTTAACTGGTTTCCCTGTGCTAATATTGCTCTCTCAGCAGTAAGACCACTGCAGTGAACATGTTCACCTGACTTTGTTTCTTAAAATAACCACTCAGTGACATTCCCTGGCCTCCAGAAGAATGTCCATTCTCCTTTACATGGCCTAGGAGGTCCTCCATGTCCTGGCTACTGTACCTGTCTAGCCTTTCCCATTATTCCCCCATCTTGGATTCTGTGTTGTAGTGATATCAGACTGACTGTGGTTCCCCATGGGCCAGGTCTTTTGAACCTGTGCTCTGCCTTTGATTGTTCCAATACATTCTTCCCTCTCTTCCCCTTTAGGACTCAGATTATCATTTATCCCATTAGAACCTAGTTATTGATTTGTCTTTCTCAAACTAGACTGTAACTCCTTAAGGGCAGTGTTCCTATTTTATTTAGCACCCAGTACATCGTAGGCCAGGCAATAAGTGTTTTTGGTCAGAACAGAGAATACAAAAAGGTCTGCAGTCTAAAAGGTAGACCGTAAAACTTAACAGGGACATCAGATTTAACAGGGATATAGTTGGCTTTAAAACAAACAACGGAAACAAGCCTTGATCTAAGTACTGAGTACAAGGTGGGAAAAGATGACTCATCACCATCAGAAGACCATGTAAATGAAGAAAGGCTGTGGTTTCAGGTGGCCTTATGCTCTACATGAGTCAACAGTGTGATGCACCTCCAGGAACCTAGGGTCAGAACAGGGGAAATAGCAGTCCTCCTGGTCATACCATTCACGAGAGTCATGTTCCATCTTAGGGGCTGTACCTTAAGAGGGAGGGAAGCATGTCCAAAGGAAGGCAGCTAGAATAGTGAGAGGTAAACCCTTTCATGGGGAATAGTTGAAGGAAGTAGGGGATTTCAGCTGGAGAAGTTGGAGGGGCCTTAATAACTGTATTCAAGTGCCAAAAGGGCTCACTGGTAACCTTAAAGTGCAGAACTAGGCCAGTAAGTGAAAACTACAATTAGATTTTCTAAGAGTGAAATACTTTGCCTTGTGGTCTCCAAGTCACCGTAGAGTTCATCCAGAAGCCTCTGAGAAGAGGGCCTGTGGAGGGGATCTGAGCCCTTGAAGGAAGTTTGGACTAGATGTCCTTCTGTCCTGTTCATTTGGAGGCTTGGTGATGTAAGAGGTCACTGAGTTCATATTCACTGAATGTTGAGGGTTGGGGGGTGTCAGGAGCACATCTTATGATAGGAATGCCTTTGTCCCTCTAGGGGAAAGACTGAATTACCTAAACAGAAATTGCCTCTGGACAAGAAGTCTGAACCTTAGTGGACTAGTCACTTATTACATCATTCATGTGAAATGTACTCAGAAAAGACATCTAATAGACCCGCACAGTGTATCCAGAGCCTTTCATTCTCCCATGTCCTTTTGTGGAACTTTGACTAAAGTGTTTGCCTCTTTCCCTTTGCTTTTTTGCTTTTTTTAGTTCTGGAGCATCTTGGCCTCTGGGAGGAAGTCAGAGGGATCATCTCAGGATCAGAGCTGATAACGGGATTCCCCTATACCTTCACGGTGCCTGGCCTGCCCCAGTACCTCCAGAGCCTCACCAAACTAGCCATCACCACAGTGTTGGCAGTGGCAGCCAAGGATGGAGGGCAGAGAAGGGATGTTCCCATCTCCCTCTCTCAGCTGTTAGAGTCCTCCTTCCCAGAAGTGCGCCTCCTGACACTGGAATCCCTGTTGGAAAGGTTCTCAGCAGCAGCCCCTGGATTAGGAGAGAAGGGACTGCCACCCTTGCTGCAGAATATGGGAGGGACATTCTTGATGTTGGCTATGAAGGAAAATCACCCAGAATGCTTCTGCAAGGTAAAGTCCCTGGTGTGCTGACCATGCCCTACCACTCCCCATGCTCTTTGGCAAGCTCACCAGATTGATAAAAATCAAGAAGGCAGGGTTTGGTCTGACTTTTCCAGGATCAGTAGGAGGAGAGTCAGCATCCATTGGACAAAGACCTTCTGTATGGTGCTTGGCATGGCTTCATGCATGGAAGGGCACTAAGAAAAGTATTTTATGATAATGCTATTGATCACAGAGGTTGAAGGTAAACCACTCAGTGCTCTAGGAAACAGCATTGACAGTTGGGTGTAGAATGTGTAGAAGGTAGTCTTTGCTAATGCCATTTGGGGGCAGATGCCCTGCTAGAAAGCATAATCAACAGGAAAAGGCACTGCCCTAGGAATCTGGGCATCTAGGCTTTGATCCTAGGTCACTAGAGACCTTCATGTGTGTCCCTGCTCCACTGTGTCTTGGTCCCCTAAAGGTATTAAGGGGGAAATAAGAAGTCAGTGGGAGCTTTTTGAAAGACAGACCTCCTTGTCAGTACAAGTGATTATTATTTAGCTTCTAGAGGCTTTTTCCTGAGTTATGTTTGTTTGTTTTTCATGGATCTGGCTCACACAGATACTGAAAATTCTCCATTGCATGGACTCCAGTGAGTGGCTTCCACAGACAGAGCAATATATCCAGCTAACCCCAAAGGAATTCTTGATCTGGACAATGGATATTGCTTCAAATGAAAGGTTTGCCCCAGTGCTCTCTGTGAAAACTCTATATCGTGTGGGCCCATCAATCAGTTAGTAATGAACTTGAGCCCAGTCCTGGCCCAATGACTCAGGTCCTGTATTTCTTTGTAAACCTCAGCCTAGGAGCATGTTCTCTGCTCAAGCAAAAGAATGATGTCAGAGTATCACATTAATAACCAAAAGGTAATCACTTCTGAAGCTGTTTATATAGCCATGAGGTGGAAATTTCCAGCATTCACATCCATATGGATTTTAGACTATCTGCAAAAACCATCTGTATATAAAATAAGTTTAATTTTAAATTTCTTGTGCTTTTTGCTTACTTTTTCTAGGTCTGAAATTCAAAGTATAGCTCTGAGACTTGCTTCCAAAATGATTGCCCACCACATGCAAATGTGTGAGGAGGTAGGTAGATTCTGCCCCTTGTTCTGGGGTCTAGGTTGTTGTGCTCCTATTTACCTGGAAGGTATCAGTAAAAGTGAACTGTTTCAGCAGGCAGAATTACTGTGGTGTGTGTGCACAGCCTCTACAAAGATATTGTTTATGTCTGTTATCCACTGTGGATATAATTTGTGAAGAATTTTCCAAGCACCACCTTTGGCATTTTTTTTCTCTTGTTCTGGGCACATTTGATTAGAATCCATGAGAGTAACCCAATCTCTTTGCCCTCACCACACACACACACACATATGGCCAAATCCCCTTGTTTTTAATTTTTTGAGCCAGACTCTTTATTTAAAGAGAGAGTGAACAAGTCAGTTCTAAGGATTACAAGTCACCAGGATTGCATCCTAGTCAACTAAGGTTAAGTACATGTCGCTAAGGCTTGAACGTTCCCCTGGAACATAGCCCAGATGGCTCTTCATGTAAGCCCAGATGTGCCCCACCTGTCTTAACATATCTTGAGGGTGAGGTGGAACTAAAGTAATCAAAACAGCTTCCTGGAGAGATGCCTTAAGACAAATGCATGCATACCTGGAGGTATAAGGAAAGATGCCACCATCACAGAATTATTGTATGTGGAAGGCAGTTAATAGTACACTAAAATTACCTGAAGATCAATATTACTCATCACCACACCATGATAGTGGTGGCATAATGTTGCAGATTCCAGTTCCTTCCAACAAAGCAGCACTCAGAGAGAGGCCCCAGGGATGCAAAAATGAGCAAAGAGTGGATGGGCGGTATGATGAGGAAAAGGAGCATTGGATGGAGACAGAAATGCTCCAGTGCAGAGGAGGCTGCGGGAATCCGGAGGAGGGCGGAGCACGGGGGGGAGCTGAGGAAGACTTCACAGAGGAGACTGGTACTTCAGAGAGCCTGGGGCTGGGCAGAGAGAGACCCCGAGGGTGAGAGTTAAGCAGATCCACAGTCTCCTGGGGTCTGCCACCCAAAGGCAGGCCAGGGGACCAAAGGTAAGCTGGTCACCAGGATACACAAAAAGCCCAGAAAACGTCAACCGTGTGTGTTTGGGTGGGAGAAGAGGAGGTTTGTAGAAAGGAAAAGGATTTGCTAAAAAATCATAGCCTAGAGGGGAAAAAAACAAGTTCTAAGAAAATAATCACAGAGAAGCCTACCAAGTCTGCCAAATGCTATCATTTTCATCTAAATTTGTGTTTTAATCAGTTGTCATGTGCATCTAAAAGGCACTGTTTTGTACTTGAATATTTGATGAAAATTGAGACTTTTCCAAGGAGAGAAGAACTAACAGAACTGTAGAGAAGCACATAAAAGAAGTTCCTGGGAACACCTGGGTCTCTCTGTGCACTGGGGGTCAGCTTCGCCCTGAAGCTCTGAGGTGCTCATCAGTTTAGCTCCATAGATACCCACAGATGATCAGAGGAGCCAGTGGTCTCATACTGAACATTTTAAGAGGCTTAGTTGATAGGAGAAGTCAAATACATTTGGAACAATAATCCCCTTTCTAGAAAAAGTAAAAACCCAGGGTTTAAAAGATGGAAACAACCCAAATGTCCAACTGATAAATGGTATAACCTGTGCCATGGAATATTATTCAGCCACAAAAAGTCATGAAGTACTGAAATATCCTACATCACAGATGAACCTTGAAAACATGCTAAGCAAAAGAAGCCAATCACAAAAGACTGCATATTTTGTGATTTAATTTATGTGAAACATCCAATATAGGCAAATCCTAAAGACAGAAATTAGCGTTTTAGGGCTGGGAGAAGGCACAGATGACAAATGGGGCTTGTTAACCAAAGGTACAGGGTTTCCCTTGTTGGTGATGAAATGCTCTAAAATTGACTGTGGTGATGGTTGCACATATCTGTGAATATACTAAAAACCATTGAATTGTATGCTTTGAATGGGTGGATTACATGGAATGTGAATTATACCTCAGTAAAGCTCTTAGTATAAAAAAATAATAATAGAGCTTTGTTTCAATAATGTTAGTTAGGATGCTGCTTTAAATTTTGTAATAGAAACTCATAAATAGAATGGCTTAAAGCAGAGCGAAGCAGTCCAAAGTAGATATGTGCCCTGACAGTGTTGGACCCCCAGGCCCTTCTACCTTGTTGCTCTCCTGTCCTCAGCGTGGCTTCCATCTTGCAATCCCAGATGGTCGCTCCAGCGCCTACCATCTTGTCCTTGCTCAGCTAACAGGAAGGTATGACCTAAAAGTGGCACAGATACCACTTTAATGACATCCCATTAGTCAGAACTCAATCACGTTACTCCCAAATGCAAGGGAACCTGGGAAATGTAGTCTTTAGCTGGGTGCCCACATGCCCCACCAAAAATCTAGAGTTCTGTTACTGAAGACAAAAGGAGTATCTGATTATTTGGGAAAACAAGTATTATTTGCTACCACAGTCTTTCCCCTAAATTTTGTCCTTACTGAAGCTATCGAATCTGTTCTGATAACCTGATTTGCATCAGAAAAGGCTCTAGGAACTTGCAAGTTGTAGTGACTCAGTATTATTGAAAGACAAGTCAGATGTTCTTCCCTGAGCTTATTTATTTTTCCCTACTTGGGATGGAAGGAAAACCAACTGGAATGCTTTCTCTCGCTACAGTAAGCTCTGATTTGTAGATCCGTTTGTTGTGTGTAGCTCATCCCTAAATCCTTGGCAGTCCTCAGTCACATCTTCTGAACTGCCATCCATTTTGTGCTTTCAGACCAGGGACTCTGTGGCCCCCAAACTGCAGCAGTGGGTTCAGCTGGTCATCGCATCCTGCGGAGATAACCGTCCCCCAGAGTCTAGGCTGGCCGCTGCTGAAGTCCTCACCAGCACTGCGCCATGTTTCCTCACCAACGTCCACCCCATTCTTGGTAAGTGCACTGGGTGGGGAGAAGGCCCTTGCCTCAAGAGCCCTCAAGGTGTGAATAGGCACTCTAGGTTAAAAAAGAGAGAAGATAAAAATGACAGCATGCACCATACCATTACAGCTTTCAAATATATTAAAACCCTCTTAGTTCCTACTCTAATCATTTTTCACCAGCAACTGCCTCTTTTCTTTTCAATCATGTTTCCCAAGCCATTCTCCTTTTGTTTCCAAAAGCCTCTGTGGTCTTCCTGAAATACATCTGATTATTTCACTCCACTGATTAAAGCCTTTGAGTGGGTTCCTTCAGGAACCTTCAGGATGAAATCCAAACACCCTTTAACACAGCTTATAAGGCCCTTCCTGTTCTGCGTGCTGCCCAGCCCTCCCGCCTCATCAGCCACCACTCCCCAACATGGGCCCTCTGTGTCATCAACAGGTAACAGTTCTCTAAAACAAACTGCTGCTCAACTGACTTTCGTTTGTATTTCAAGACTTGGCCTGTCACCTCTTCCAGGAAGCCTGTTAAAGTGATCTTGGTGAAATGACTGGGTCAGTGTGAGGCTGTGGCACTGAGGAAGAAGAAAGGACAGGCTCAAAAGGCATTAGGAAGTAGACTCAACAGTACTTGGTGTTGAGTTTAATGTAAAAAGAAGACTCACAGATGAACTACAGGCTTTTAACTTAAGTGACTGGGAAGACTACCACTGGTTACTTTCACTGAAACTAGTTTTAAGTAAGGCATCTTTGGGACATAAAGGGAGAGCTATTTTGAAATCAAGTAGGGATCTTGGCTGGTTTCCAACTGTTTTCCACTTTCATGTCTCTTTCCTCACTGCCATGTCCTGTCCTTAAGTAATTAGGAAAAAAGCATTATGTCATGGTGTTGAGAAAACTAAGCTTTAGGAAATCTAAGGAATTGAAAAAGCTTAGAGGTTTTTGGTTTGGTTTGGTTTTCATTTTTAAATTTGAAAAAATACTGTGGTGTTTTGTTTATTTTTAAGCATAAGGGTTTAATAAAAGGAAAACCCTGGACTTAAAGCCATGCCTTAGTCCTGACCTTGTCCTCTCCTGCTGTCTTATCCCCATGATATTGTGCTGTGATTCTCTTCCATCCCTTATTGGAATCCTGTTTTTGCTCACATCTGCCATACCGAGGCCTGCAGAATATGCCATGGCCCCTGTGTACAAAGAGCTTTCAGTGTAGATGTGGAGAAAGAACTTACAGGATAAAGGAAAGAATTGCTTTTTTAGATGGTGAGATTCAGATTTTAAGTGTTAATCACAGTTCAGCCCAATAAAGTGTCTCATGTCCCTGGATCTCTCTGGGAAACAAAGTTGCCTTTGATATCCTTTTAATTACTTCTTCTAAGTGGCTTCCAGACATTTTTTCTTATACCCAAAGGGAGATGGAAAGGGGACCATCTCTGATTGTGATTTAATCACTGGATCCAGAGGAATAAAAGCAAATATTTATAAACTTTGGTAAAGTTTCTCCAGTGGAGGTAATACCATTTTGCACCACACTTTCTTTGTACTCTAGCTCTAGTTCATATCAGGCAAAATGTGTATGGAAAACCTGGAATTTCTGAATGAAATTGAATCCTGGTCATAATTAATTGTTGGAGCCGATTATAGCATTATAGGCAATGAGAAAGTAGGTCAGTCGTGGCTGATAGCCTATGAGAACATGAAACAGATGTAGGACTGAGAGAAACAAGACATAAAAGTATGCATATATAAATCACTGTGTTAAAGAGGAAAATCTTTAAACCCTAGAGAACAATAAGAATGGATAGATTCTGACAGAGTAAAATTTAAAGCCAGACTTAAAACAGAAAAGAGAGAATGAAACCCCAGCGGGAGCCATTACCATTCTTGGTTTGACTAAAGCATTGGTGACTCTACTAACACATTCTCCACGGAAAAAAAGGGAGGGAGTGGCCTAAGGAGAGGACTCAGGACAGGGTGGGTTCCCTGCCGAAAGGCTAGGGATGATGAGTGGCAGTCTTCTGTGCCCCTCCACTGCAGCTGTCCACAAGCCTGGGCCTCCCACAGGTGCATGTGTCCTTTCCATAAGGCCCTTCCCACCCCTCACCTCCCTCCAGAAGTCAACCTCCATTACACAGTCTACTGTGATCTTTCCCTGTCGTGAGTCACAGCCACACACATCCATCCCTGACTTCTTCCTGCCTCGTGTTCTTGACGATGTTCCTTCTAGTTGCTCAGGGCAGATACTGTTTCTTCCTGTTCCATCCTCCACAGAGCCCCCAGCACAGGGTCTCCACAGAGTTCCTGCCCCAGGGTGATGGCGGTCTGAGGGTGGGTCCCACATGGACATGGCAGACTGGTGCCTTTAGCATGGGTCCTTGCCCGTTTTCGATTCTTGTTCCCCAAATCTTGATTGAAACTTTGTTTTCAGAATTTCTAAGCTCACACAGTCACTCAAATCAACACTGGGCTAGTTTCCCCAAAGCACTCTTGATATATGAAGTTTCATTCCTGAGACTCGTGAGTCATTGTGGATAGCTGGGCCCAGAGCCTTAGTCAGCCAGGCCGCACCTTCTGGTGACCTTGCCTGGGACTGGTTGCCTTTCTTAAGCTTTCCCTCCTTGAAAAAAAAAAGACACTTCCAAACCTGCCCCCTTAGGGCCCTCTCTCTTCCAGTGTTTATCTGACTCTTGGATCTTCCTTTCTTGCAATACCCAGAAAAAAAGGAATGGCTGTTGCTCATTACGATTGCTCTCCTCCACCATGGATTTGAAGCGGTAGAGGTATTTATACCTGCTTGTAAATTGCATTGTGGGTGATTCAGATTCCTTTTGGTCTTCTTAGGACTGCAGGATACACTTGCTCTCTGGAGATGTGTCCTCACTCTCCTTCAGAGTGAGGAGCAAGCTGTTAGAGATGCAGCCACAGAAACTGTGATGACCACCATGTCACAAGAAAACACTTGCCAGTCAACAGGTACCTAATTCTTATTTTTCCATAGTGTCTTATTGCTCTTGGACCAAAGTTGGCATGCTTTGTCTGTAAAGGACCAGAAAATCAATATTTTTGTCTTTGTCAGCCATTCAGTCTCTGTTCTCAACTCTGCCATTTTAGTGGGGGCAGTAGCTACAAACAGTAGGTAAGTAAGTGGGTGTGACTGTGTTCCAATAAAACTTTATTTAAAGAAATAAGCAGCTGCCCAGATTTGATCTGCTAGCCACAGTTTGCTAATCCCTAATTTTTCTGTAGGACATCCTACAGAAAAATTGTTTTTGAAAATAGAAATCTAATAAACAATGCCTTTTGTTAGTTACTTTGTCATCCTTTTAAAATAAAGCCAAGTCTTAATTATCTGTGTGGTTACATAACCCAGGAATCATAGACCCATCATTTTGTTCCTCCATGAGTTTCTACACGTGACAGAAAGAGGTGAGTGTGAATTAAGTTTCTGCGCTTTGTGCTTGGGCTCCTTGTTTAGTGGCAGTGCTAGTACTGGAGGCAGGATGGGAGTAGGAAGAGAAGCAGCCTAGATGGGTCGTTCTGGGCTTACAGCCACTCAGTCCACATGGTGAGCTCTTACAGCCCTGGGCACTGTTATCTGTATATGGTGGCAAATGCTATGGACGTAAAAGGGAACTGCTGGGCTGCTGGATGGAAGGGGTGGGCAAGTGGAGGAGAAACAGGACACACCTCTGGACAAGTGGCCATCTGGAGGGTGACTGCCCTTGTAGACTTGGATTGCCTGCGCCTAGGGCTGGGTGTCAGCAAAGAGCCTGGTTCAGCTGTCCTAAAGAAAAACCAGGACACCATTTGGAGGCAAGGGATCGTAGGCTGAGCAAAGAAGTTTGCCTTAATGGGAAGCAGAATGGGAGGGGAAATAGCCATACGGGGTCTGTAACTGATTCAGGGCCCCTCGTCCCCATGGCTACGGATTCTGGAAGCTTCCCTAGGAATGTGTGAACTTCCCCATACTCACGTCCTCCATTATAATGGTCTGCATGTATGGAAGAAGGTAGTTTTTGTTTGTTTTTAGTAAGGTATCATTGATATACAATCTTATGAAGGCTTCACATGAGCAACATTGTGGTTACTACATTCACCCATATTATCAAGTCCTCCCATCCCCCCATTGTAGTCATGTCCATCAGCATAGTAAGATGCTATAGAGTCACTACTTGTCTGGCAGAGGTAGCTTTTTAATAATCTCTCAGGGTACCACTCCCGAGCACATTTAGCCAGGATCAGCTGTACCTCTCAATGGCAAAATATTCAGGTTGGCACTGTGAGTGATGTGTAAGCAGCCAACTGCCCACTCTCATCCCACCCTGTCAGAGTGCCTAGATATCTCAGTTCCACCATTTGTCCCTTGTCCCTTTTTCCAGTTGTGCATTTTCCTTAGAAGGACACACAGAGCACTCAGCAAAGGCTCAGTAAATATGTGGTGGAATATAATATTCACTAGATTTCTCTAGGACCTTCTCCACCAAAGATGTAGAAGATCATTTCATAGTGGAATTCATCCGTGGACTTCTTCCTCCTAATCTTGATAATCTTTGCCCTCCTACTTTTATTTCTTTCAGAATTTTTTCCAAATTCATTTATAGTAAAACTATATTACCATGTTCTCATCCTTATAGTTCAAATTGTTTCTGAAGAAATAGAAATCATTAATTATATATTGAGTGCCTTTGACATGTGAAACTCCATGTGTGAAAGCCTCTGAGGGATAATACACATAAAATCCTCCTTATTTACCTTTGTATTCCTCGTGTTGGTCTATAAAAAAGGATTTGAGGTGTAATAAGGGCAAAAATTCTATAACACCTAATGTAGCATGTTACCTGGACCAGATCCTTTACTGGAGGAGTAAAAAGTCATATGGGAAGTCATTAGAACAACTGACAAGATTGAAATATTGCTGTAGATTAAAATCAGTGTTAAATTCCCTGCATTTGATAACTGTATTGAGGTTTTGTAAGAGAATATCTTTGTTCTTACTAATAAACAACTGAAATATTAGGGGCTAAAGAGGCACAAAACCTGCAATGTAGTCTCAGCTGGTTCCAGAAGAAAACTGTATGTGCATATAAACAGTAAGCACAGATATGGAGATGCTATACTTGCTTTTTTTCTGTATGTTTGAAATTATTTAAGCTGTTTTTTAAAAAATCCACTTCTACATCTGAAAACACCAACACAGTCTATATTGATAGACCCATCTGACTGGTTTATTGACAATTCAGCCCCCATGACTCCTTTCCCCTAAATTATATGAAAACATCCTGCTTCTCCCTTTTTAACTCTTTTTGAGTGAATTTTTGCATCTAAAAAAAATCAAACTCAATTATCAGGGAAATGCAAATTAAAGCCAAAAAGAGATACCACCTCACACCAGTTAGGATGGCCAACATCCAAAAGACAAGGAACAACAAATGCTGGTGAGGATGCAGAGAAAGGGGAACCCTCCTACACTACTGGTGGGAACGTAAATTAGTTCACCCATTGTGGAAATAATATGGAGGTTCCTCAAAAAACTAAAAATAGAAATACCATTTGACCCAAGAATTGCACTCCTAGGAATTTACCCAAAGAAAACAAGATTCCAGATTCAAAAAGACATATGCACCCCTATGTTTATTGCAGCACTATTTACAATAACCAAGATTTGGAAGCAACCTAAGTGTCCATCAGTAGATGAATGGATAAAGAAGAGGTGGTACATATACACAATGGAATATTATTCAGCCATAAGAAGAAAACAAATCCTACCATTTACAATAACATGGATGGAGCTAGAGGGTATTATGGTCAGTGAAATAAGCCAGGCGGAGAAAGACAAGTACCAAATAATTTCACTCATCTGTGGAGTATAACAACAAAGCAAAACTGAAGGAACAAAACAGCAGCAGACTCACAGACTCCAAGAAGGGACTAGCGGTTACCAAAGGGGAGGGGTAGGAGAGAGTGAATGGGGAAGAGGGAGAAGAGGATTAAGGAGTATTATTAACACACATAATGTAGGGGCTCATGGGGAAGGCAGTACAGCACAGAGAAGACAAGTAGTGACTCTATAGCATCTTACTGCACGGGTGGACAGTGACTGCAGTGGGAGTGGTGGGGGGGACCTGATAATATGGGTGAATGTAGTAATCACATGTTGCTCATGTGAAACCTTCATAAGATTGTATAATAAAAAGAAAAATCAAACTCAAGCCAGATTCCTCAGATTCAAAGCTCTCAGCAAGATAGCATCACTGAGGGGGACACTAGTTTAGCACTTCATGTTTTCTGTGCTGCCTGATAACAACGCTTGGACAGACTCTCCATAATACAGCTTGATTTTCTTAGGTAAAAAGTACACATCTTTCTACTTTAGACTGAAAAGTAGCTGAGGACTGAGGATCACCCCATTTTTTCACTTTTTGAACTTTTTAGTCAGAAGTTTAGCCAGCTGATTCATCAGAACAATATTGCCTTATTGTTGTACTGAACATCTCTAAAGGGCATCAGGCAACTGATGGTAACTTTTGACGTTCCTTCAGCATACGGGGATTTTGTAGAATACACTACTGATGATTTACTCTTTGGTGTTCCAAGTGAATTATCACTCTTCAGTCTTGAATACATTAAAAATGCATGTCATGAATTTTATCCCCATATCAGTGGCATTAATAAATGCCACAGTAAAATAATATTATTAAATTATGTTACTATTTAATGTCTTCTTTAGGAAGGCTAAATATTATAAATATATATACACATGTATATATAATTAATTTTCACTCTTCTTCAAAAGAAAAAAATAAAACATGCCTCTGAGATCTCATCCTGTAAATGCAGGCTGGACACAGACAGAAAGAGCTTTACATTCATCCTATCTAACAGCCTGCTGGGGACATGGGGAAGTGTGAGGGGCATTTTGATTGTGGGGTCTAGTCGGGTTCCTGAGAGTGGAGCTGGCCCAAAGGAGGGGATAAATGGGACACAGATGAGAGCATTCAACACAGAAGGAATAGCTGAAGCCAAACCTGGGAGCTGGGGGGAACTTGGGAATTGAATGGGGAGCAGCAAGTGAGCTTGTATGGCCAGAACGTAGGCCATGGCCAGGGAAGCAGAGCAGGGGGTAAAGCTAGGAAGGCAGGGCCACCTTTCTAGGTTGGGTCTTGGGATGACTGACTGAGAGCCGAGGACCCCCTGCAGGTGGCAGGAGAGTGGAGAGGGTTTCAAACTGGGGAGTAGTGTTGTCAGAGATGTGTGTTTGGGGAGTTCTTTCTGGCTGCAGTGTGTGAGATGATCAGGGCTGGCATGAGTGAGCGAAATGTCGAGGCAGGGAGACCGACTGGGAGCTGGAAGCGAGAGTCCTCATGAGCCGGCATCGGCGGTGATGGGATGGAGAGGGCATGTGGGTAGGCTCAGCAGGATTGGGGCCTGGTGCTTATGGGAGGTAAGGGAGAAGGGAAAGCGGAGGTGGCTTTAAGGTTTCAAAACTCTAAGCTGGCTATCCAGGGGAAATACCTAGACGTCCTCTGGCAGTGAGGTAGCCACTGGGCTACAGTTCCAGGAAGTGAAACTACCAGGAATCAGGAAAGCACTTAGAAACCACAAGTCATTGTGATCTGGGACAGAGTATTCCTTTGGCCTTGGAGAGACAGGCAGTGGAAACTGAGAGGGCAGAAGGGGACCTTGTCTGCTGTCGGAACAGAATGAACTGTCTGGCACTGTCCTGCCCCTCCCAGCACACGGCACAGTCCTCCTGAAGAGGGCCAGTTATTGTCCTAGGAGGCTCTGGTTAAAAGTATCAAAGCATTAAATCAGTTGTTCAGACTTTAGCACCCTAGCGTGTCACTCAGCACACAGTTGGCTTTAGATATGGATTTGTGGGGTGAAGTAGTTAATGATTCTGGAAGGCTTGGAGAAAATAACTCCATGTTTAGAAAGCCCTCATGAGGATGGATTTGTTGTTCACCTTTTCACCT